TACCTTTAGACAAGATTCTAGCCAGCTTGGAAAAGAGGGTGTGGGTGTTATGTGGTTGGGTTTAAGATTGAGACAGACAGAAGTGAATGAGAATGAGAGACAAAAGGGGAGGGGGAAGGGTAGAGGAGCCAGGGGAAGAAGGTGCCGGTCATGTAGGTCCAGGAGGCAGAGGATGGAGCGCTGGATGCGTCTGGGCGGGCTTCACCTAAAAGCCAAGCCAGGTGAGGAGACTCGCGGGGCTTGGCAGGCTCAGAAGGGCCACTGGGACAGGGCTGGGGGTAAATAAGGGACGCCTCCACTGCCCCTCACTGAGGTGGGAGGAAGCGTTCTGGCTGTGCTGCTTGCTTCATTAGACTCCGCCCTTCCCCAGATGAGACCTTGAACAAAAGTCACGTAACTATTTTGCGCCTTATTTTTCCCCTCTGTAAACTGGGAATGATAGTAACTTCCTCGTAAAACGCTGTTAAGAACTAAATAAGACGAGGATAGGAAGGCAAAAATAGTGCCTGACTCCTAAAACCAAAAAACTCCTCCTAGGCCCTCAAAAATGTCAGCAATTATTATTACTATGTTCTCAACATTTTACCCTTAATTGGGGGTAGGAGGAGGCGTAGGGGCAAAGAATCCTTCCAGACATTGCCCCCTTTCATCCCGGGTTTCCAGAAAAACCGCTGACCGGCGGTTGGAGATCAAGGGAGCGCGCCCGGGGAGGGGCGGGGCCTGCTGTTCCCGCTCGAAGGTGACCCCGCCCCCTTCTCCCTCCCACGAGACCTCGTTTGGGATTTTTTGGGCCTCTTCACTTCCCTCGGCTATGCCGCGTGGGCCTCCCGGCCTTGCTTCCCTCCGCAACTGCGCGGGGCCTGAGTGTGAGGTTCCGGAGCCCCGGCGCGGTCCGGGTTCCTGGTGTAGACGCTGCCGGCTGGCCCGCCCCAGCCCCCTGGGCACTCCCTCGGAAGCCTCGGCTGCCACTTGGTGCGCAGGTTTGCTTCAGAGGGTCGGCGGGCGGTCTACGGCGAGGAGGATCGCTGGGAGGGTCAATTCGTCCAGTCTCCGGGCGTAGAAACCGCCCTCGCCCTTGGGAATCCTTGGCAGCCCAGACAGAAGGGAAGTGGGCGCCTGAGAGCTCTCTCGGCATTTTGATTCATCTCGGGCCCTGTAAGGGTCACATCTTGTGAAAATACCTGTAAAATCAATTTAACGTTCAGTGCAGCGTGTAAAGACAGCTCTAAGAATTTAAAAGACGCTTGAGTCAGGACATTTAAATGCTTGGGTCCCTGTAGCAGCGTTTTAACATGTCTGAGTGCAGGGGGTGGAGAATCGAGCCTGATTTCCGCCACCGTACACGCCCTGTAACATTTTAAAAGGGTAAAGAAAAGCACCCTAAAAAACCGAAGTGTGCAGTTCACTTAGGGAGGGAAGAACAGCTGACATTTTAAATATTTGGGTTGGTTCTCATTTCCGTGGAATTTCTCTGCAAAACTTTTATTTACGGGTTTAGATCAATGATAAACAGAACTGTTAGAACACTGCGCTTAACTCAGTAGGGGCTTTTGTTGACAGGTCGATTGTGTTATTAATTCTTAATGTATCATCCAACGCAGAATCGTTATCTCAGCTTTGCAGGTGGAAAAAAGTTTGGCACCGAAAAGAATTTCCCTTACATTCACACAGAAGCAATGGCCGAGCTGCAAATTAAGTCCTAGCATTCTCACTTCTCATCTGAGTCCCCCTCTAGACCATGTTACAAAACAAATGAGTAGTTACTTTGATGTTACTCATAAAACGAGGGAGTAAACCAAATGTTCTGTGAACATGAAGTGTTAAATCGTAATAACCTTCAATGTCTGTTCTTTGAGAGGTTCAGTGCCCTTTGGAGTTTGGTACTTTTTAGAGAGGAGGAGGGGATAGAGCAGAGGAATGGAAATAACGTTCAATGGAAAATTTTTTCTCCTAAGTCCAAACTGTGCCCATCCTTACTGCCCCCTGTGTTGATGTCATTCTTTGCAGTGTACTCCATAATCTGTCAAAATACGGACAGCTCAAGTCCCAGCCTCAGCTGCATTAACTACACCTTTGCTACGCTGGGTGCACTGACCTCACTGTCAGTCTTCCTGTCATGCTTTTTTCCTCTTTTCCTCTAGGTGCTCTTTACCAGTGCTCTTATGTCAAAACTAGTTGTTGTTGTTGTTCAAGTATGGAATGATTTGTCACTCCTGGAGGATGATTCTAAGAGTTAATGATCAAAAACTACCAATGGATCTTAGATGAAAGGACAAGTTAAAGAAACACAGAGGACTATTGTGGAATTTGAAGTTTAGCTAATTGACTGGGAGAGAAAAGCAGACTCTGATATATGTATTTTTCCCTTTCCCCAGTTTAGTCGTAACTGGAAAACAGTAGCGCAGTTTTAACTTAGATATCATGGGGGAAGTGGGAGCCTATCGTTTAGACTAGTGAATTAAGAGTTTTCTTCCTAGGAAGGCTCCATTTTGGACCACCTGGAACAAGTGGAAACATTTATGTGCTTGTTATTGTTGTTGTTAGGTGCTGTCAAGTCTGCTCCGACACTTAGTGACCCTGTATACAAGAGATTAAAACACTGCCCGGTCCTGTGCCAGCCTCACAATCCTTGCTATACCTGAGCCCGTCTTTGTAGCCACTGTGTCAATCCATCTTGTTGAGGGCCTTCACCTTTTTTTCTGCTGACTCTCCACTTTACCAAGCATGACATCCCTCTCCAGGGAATGGTCCCTTCTGACAACATGACCAAAGTAGGTGAGACAAAGTCTGGTCATTCTCACTTCCAAGGAACATTCCAGCTGCACTTCTTTAAGGACAGATTTGTTAATTCTGGCAGTGCATAGTAGTTTGAGTATTGTTTGCCAACACCACAATTCAAAAGCATCATCTCTTCTTTGGTCCAGCTCCCACATGCATATGTTGTTGTTATGTGCCGTCGAGTCGGACCCGACTCATAGCGACCCCTCCTTGAGTTTCAGAAGCAGTATCACTATGGAAGTAGATTGCCCCATTTTCCTTCCGAGGAGTGGCTGGTGGGTTTGAACCGCCAGCCTTCTGGTTAGCAGTCAAGTGCCTTAGCCACTATGCTACCAGAGCATATGAGGCGATTGAAAATACTATGGCTTGGCTTAGGCAGCCCTTAGTCTTCAAAGAGACATCTTTGCTCTTCAGCACTTTATAAAGGTCTTTTGCAGCAGATTTGCCCAGTGCAATACAGTGTCTGAATTCTTGACTGCTGCTTCCATTGGTGTTGATTGTGGGACCAAGTAATATGAAATCTTTGACAATTTCAGTCCTTTCTCCATTTATTGTGATGCTGCTTATTGGTCCAGTTGTAAGGACTTTTTTTTTTTTCTTTATGTTGAGGTGTAATCCATACTGTAGACTGTAGTCTTTAATCTTCATCAGTAAGTGCTTCAAGTCTTCTCCACTTTCAGCAAGCAAGGTTGTGTCGTTGCATATCGCATGTTGTTAATGTGTCTTCCTCCAATCCTGATGCTGCGTTCTTTTTCACGTAGTCCAACTTCTTGGATTATTTATTCAGCATATAGATTGAATAAGTATGGTGAAAGAATACAACTCTGACACACTCCTTTCCAGATTTTTAACCATGTTCTGTTTGAATGACAGCCTCCTGGTCCATGTACAAATTCCTCATGAGCACAATTAAGTGTTCTGGAATTCCCATTCTTCTCAGTGTTATCCATAATTTTTTATGATTCACACAATCAAATGCTTTTGCATAGTCAATAAAACACAAGTAAACATCTTTCTGGTATTCTTTGCTTTCAGCCAAGAGCTATCTGATATCAACAATGATATCCCTCATTTCACATCCTCTTCTGAATCCAGCTTGCATTTCTGGAAGCTCTCTGTCAATATACTGCTGCAACCATTTTTGAATTACCTTCGGCAACATTTTACTTGCATATGGTATTAATTATATTGTTCTATAATTTCCACATTCTGTGGGATCACCTTCCTGTGGAATGGGTACAAATATGGATCACTTCCAGTCAGTTGGCCAGATTTCTTGGCACAGGTAAGTGACTCCAGCATGGCATCCATTTGTTGAAATATCTCAGTGGATATCTGGTCAATTCCCAGAGCCTTGTTTTTCACCAGTTCCTTCAAGTGCAGCTTCAACCTCTTCCTTCAATATCATTGGTTCTTAATCAAATACCACCTCCTGAAACAGATGAACATTGACCAATTCTTTTTGGTACAGGGACTGTGTATTCCTTCCATCTTCTTTTGATGTTTCCTGAATCATTCAATATTTTGCTTATAGAATCTTTCAGTATTACAACTGGAGGCTTGAAATTTTTCTTCAGTTCTTTCAGCTTGAGACATGGTGAGCATGTTCTTCCCTTTTGGTTTTCTAACTCCAGCTTAAACCAAAAACCAGACTCACTGCCGACGAGTCAATTCGACTCATAGCAACCCCTCCTTGTGTTTCCAAGGAGGTATCTCTAAGGAAATAGATTGCCCAATCTTCCTTCCAAGGAGTGGCTGGTGGGTTTGAACCACCAGCCTTCTGGTTAGCAATCAAATCTTAGGCACTGTGCTACAAAATATTTTGCCATTTGTGAGTCTGTCCGTAAAACTTGTAGAAGAGCTTGGAACCTGGGATGGATGAGCTAGCCCTTTCCTGTAAGAGGCATCCCTGAGATTCCTCCCCAGCTTGTAGACATCAGAGATTTGAACCTCAGGTACTTTCCTCTGATGCAGCCAGCCAGTTGATTCATCCTTTTGTTTTCTTCCACTCAGTTCCACAGATAAGAATCCCAAGAAAATCAAATGGCATCTGGGGATTTCTGCTTACCTGGAGAAGGGACAGAAGTACTCCAACAAGGTAAAGATAGCAATTTGCAAGAGGTTTGATGACTTATCCAGAGAGGACTTACCTAGGTACTTGCCATCTATAATAAAAAGAATTTAGGATTTATAATGTTCAACAGTACAGTTCATATAAGCCTGAGTTTCTGGGGAAGCTAAAATAACATGAACATTCTTGAACACTTTTGTTCAAACATCACCCCAATTCCTGTTTGGTATCTGCTTGTGCAGTGGGCTAAAAACTCAAGATTCTCTCATACTGTATTAGCAAGCAGATGATAAAGATAAGGGTAATCAGCAAATTTCTTAAAGCCTTTGTTCTTAGTTATCTTAATTTTTTTCATATTTTGTTGTCTAAAATCTCAAATCCTTCCATAATTCTATATCTTGAATCCTTTCTTAATCTTGAATCTTTCAGGAACTGTAATGCTGGGGTCTTTTGTTTTGCGCTATATTTTTACCACTTACATGTTGAATCTTTCACTAGCTTGTTAGCTGCCATCAAGTTGGCTCCAGACTCATGGTGACCCCACGCACAATGGAATGAAATGTTACCCAGGCCTGTACCATCCTCATGATTGGTTGCAGATCAGACCAATGTGATCCATAGGGTTTCATTGCTGATTTTCTTGGAATTAAATTGCCAGGCTTTTCTTCCTAGTCTTTCTTAGTCTGGAAGTTTCAATGAAATCTGTTCAGCATGCAAGCCTCCAATAATACATGAGTGATAGCTGTGCATAAGGTACATTGGCTGGGAATTGAACCCAGGTCTCTTACATGGAAGGTGAAGATTCTACTACTGAACCACCATTGCCCCCTTTTCAATACCTTAGGGAAGAAAAAAGGAGATGTTTCTTATTGTCCAAAAGAACTTTGGATATGATGGGCAAAAGAATGAAAATTTGAGTGTTTAGTCAATAGGAGTCAAACAAAAGAGCTCAGCATGTAGCACATGGGAAAGGAGATGGAAAGGGTATATGGAATAACCAGAGCATTCCAATTTCTTGTACCTTTTTTCTCATGCATGGACTGCCATTCTACTGAATTCACATGGGTTATTCAAGTCTACTTATAATAGTGAAAATTTGGTTAGTTAAATTCTTCCTTTACTTGTAACAGTATAGGATCTCTGGTGGTGCAGTGCCTTAGGCATTTGACTGCTAACCAGAAGGCTGGAGGTTCAAATCCACCAGCCACTCCTTGGAAGGAAGATTGGGCAAACTACTTCCATAGTGATACCGCCTCAGAAACCCAAGGAGGGGTTACTATGAGTTGGATCTGATGGCAGTGAGTTTGTTTTTTATTTTTTTATAATAGTATATCTCTCTCAGTCTTGCTCATGTGACTGGAGAACACATCTAAAATTGAAACTTAACATGTTCTTTTTTCTTTTCTTCCTTATGAATTCCAGTTACTCTATATGAATGAGCCATTTTGGGTATTGTGGTGATCCCTTCTAAAGGGTCCCTTATTCTTGATTCTATTTGTCTTAATACTTTCCAACTACATTTCTGTTTTCTAAGACCTTAGTTTTATTAGAGGATACTTTGTGGCACAATGGTTAAGCACTTGGTTGCTAACCTGAAAGGCAACTGGTTGAAAACTACCAGCCATTCTGCTAGAGAAAAGACCTGGCAATCTGCTGCCATAGATTACAGCCTAGAAAACCCTATGGGGCAGTCATATTCTGTCACAGGCAGTCATAGGGTCACTGTAAGTTGGAATCGACTCAACAGCACACAACAATTAGAGGTTGGTTCTCTAATTCTTGATCGACATCCTTGTATATTACATAGCCACCACCCATCTCTCATTTTGTCATACTATGATAGCATACATATTGCTATGATGCTCGAAGCTTTTCTACTTCAAATACCAGCAGGATCACCCATGATGGACAGGCTTTAGTGGACTCAACTCACTGCCATCAAGTCGGTTCCCACTCCTAATGACCCCTTCTTGGGTTTCTGAGGAGGTATCTACAGAAGTAGATTGCCCAGTCTTTCTTCCGAGGAGTGGCTGATGGGTTTGAACCATCAGTCTTCTGGTTAGCAGTGAAATGCCTTAGATACTATGCCACCAGAGCTTCTAGGCTTCAGTGGAACTTCCAGATTAAAGTAGACTTTGAAGAAAGGCCTGGCAATCTCCTTAACCCTAGGGATCACAACAGAATATTGTCTGATATAATGCTGGAAGATGAGTTGTAAGGCACTGAAAATATACAGTAGCTGCAACAACGGACTCAGACATTCCAATAATCATGAAGATGGCACAAGACCAGACAGTGTTACATTCTGTTGTATGTCAAGTCACCATGAGTTGGAGCTGACTCAGAGGCAACTAACAACTATATTAAACAGTTGCTGGTTACACTGAGTATTGCCTTAGCTTATTTGTGGATATTTTAAAAATAACTCTCATTAGATTTAGAAATCTTCTCTATCAAAAAAAGTTCTTTTTGGAAGCAAGTATAAATTTAGTTATGCTCAATTACATAAAGTCAGAGCCTAGACCTTCTTTGCTTTATTGTCCCTTTAAAGCATGCAATAAACAGCTTCCTCCTTGTAACCTGAATGAAGAGGACCTGTTACAGAACCCATACTTCGGCAATCTACTTCTGAATCTCTCACAGCATGTGGATGAAAGTGGCTTAAGCCTCACTCTGGCAAAGGAACAGGCTCAGGTAAAGGCTGTGGGGGAAGGGATGATAGGAGATACGGAAAGTACTTCCCAGAGAGAGAGGTTCCTAATTGGAATTTTTTGGTTTTCTAGGCATGGAAAGAAGTTCGACTGCATAAGACAGCATGGTTGAGGTCTGAGATTCTGCAGAGGGTCATCCAAGAGCTCCTTGTGGACTACTATGTGAAGATACAAGACACAAGTTTAACTTCTGAGGACAAAAAGGTGAGGCAGAAGACATGAAGTAGGGGTTGATTACCAGCTATAGAAATGAGCAGGCCAACTTAATCAGGCTTTGTGTGATTATGTGATCTGTGGGAAACAGCTTTGAGTAACGGGTTATCAAAAAAGAAATGAACTGTAATTTGGGAGAAAGAGTGGGTGTGTTGTCAGAGTTTTAAAAGAAAGATTGAAAAGGAGGAGATATTTTCAAACTAGGAGCTATCTGAAGGCGATGACATGTTTGAGGACTTTAAAAATGTGTGAAGAACTGGTTTGTGAGGGTGAAAGAGGTGGAGTGGGAGAAATTTTATATTAATTCCTTTTTGTTTTTTTATTCTCTCTTTTAGTTTCATGAGACCCTTGAACAGCGGCTACTAGTGACTGAACTGACACGGCTCTTGGGTCCCGCTCAGGAGAAGGAAATGCCTTCATTGCTGGGGCTGGAGAAAGCAGACCTTCTGGAGCTCATGCCACCCTCAGAGGTTGGGGGCAGGCAGATATTAGGACCAAAGGAAAAAAACAGCATAATTTTTTCCATATCTAAAAAAGTTTGCTAAGCTTTAGTGTTTTTGTAAAAACAATACACATTCTTGGTGGTCAAACTTGAGGAAGAAAAATGTTACAAAGGAGAAAGTAAAAGCTTAAATCTTACATTTAGAAATAAATACAGTTAGAATTATATACAGCTTGATATAAATGGTATTATACTCTCCATGCTTATATCCAAAAAAAAAAAAATCACTGCCATTGAGTTGGATCTGACGCATAGCGACCCCTCCTTGGGTTTCTGAGACAGTATTGCTACAGAAGTAGATTGCCCAATCTTCCTTCTGAGGAGTGGCTGGTGAGTTTTGAACCGTCAGCCTTCTGGTTAGTAGTCAGATGCCTTAGGTACTATGCTACCAGAGCTTCCCCATGCTTATATAGAGAGTATAATTTGCTTTCACTCAATATATTTTAGACATTTTTTCAAGTCAGTAAATAAATGTAAATAAGATGATACCTCCTAATGCACTCTGTAGGAGCTCCGGTAGCATAGTGCCTAAGGCACTTGACTGCTAACCAGAAGGCTGGTGGTTCAAACCCACTAGCCACTTCTCAGAAGGAAGGTTGGGCAATCTACTTCCTTAGTGATACCGCCTTGGAAACCCAAGGAGGGGTCGCTATGAATCGGAGCGACTCAATGGCAAAATAACAACAACAAATGCACTCTGAGCACCGTGTGTAAGCACATAGTTAGTGCTCAGTGTTCTTATCAGCATATATCACCACTAGGATTCCATTGGGGAGCTCTGGTGGCGTAGTGCCTAAGGCGCTTGACTACTAACCAGAGACTGGTGGTTCAAACCCACAAGCCACTCCTCGGAAGGAAGACTGGGCAATCTACTTCCATAGAGATAACATCTCAGAAACCCAAGGAGGGGGTCGCTATGAGTCCAATCGACTTGACAGCAGTGAGTTTGGTTTGGTTTGGTTTGAGGATTCCATTTTATAGATTAGCACAATTTGCCTAAAGTTATTAATAGACTTTAAAATTGTTTTCAGATGTTTGCTATTGGAAACCACACTGATATGAACATGCTAGTTCATATATGCCTATGCTCCCTTACATGACAGTTTCCCTGGAGTTAGTGCTAATAGAGCAGGCAGGGTCCCCTGAAGACCAGCTGTGAGCAGAGCACAGAGAGCCAGAGGATATACATATATAACTATTGGTACATATTGCCAAACTGCTCTCTAGAAAGGTATTCTCAGTGCTCCTAGCTCCCATGTTTTCATCACTATGGGATCTTGACAATCATTTTAATCTTTGCTAATTCGATAGGCTATAAATGAATCTCCCTGATATCTTTTCTTGCATTTTCTTTGGTTATTATTGAGGTTGTTATCATCAGCTACTCATTGACTGGATCTTGCTAATTCTAAGAGTTCTATTTGCATCTCTCTTTCTATTTCTATGGCTGGAGGACTTCCTGTGGATGAGACCTAGGCTCCAGCGAGAAGTAGAGGAACAGCTCAAGAAGAAGTGTTTCACCCTGCTCTGCTATCATGATCCCAATTCAGGTGAGTCCTGGCTCTCTGTGCTCTGCTCACAGCTGGTCTTCAGGGGACCCTGCCTGCTCTTTTAAAAATAGTTGGTGTATTAAACCTTTCAGTTTGGGATAGAAGTTGGGAAGCATTAGAGATGCTTATTTGTTTGTTTCCCTGTGGGTATTATAAAAGTAAGGGATTTTGTAAGGACTTATTTTATTTGGCTAAGTGCTAGATGCTAAGAGGAGTGTCCTCCTGTTGCTAAGAAGGATGAGTTCTCTCTTAAGAGGATCCGAATGGCACAGGGTAGAAAGTTTAGGCTCAGAGCTATCCTCTTTGTCTTTACTTCTGCAGCTTAAGAATTAAGGGCCAAAAAGTTGGAATTAGAAATACCATTTGACCCAGCCATTCCATTACTAGGTATATATCCTAAAGAAGTGAGAGCCATGACAAGAACAGACATATGCACACCCATGTTCATCACAGCACTATTTACAATAGCCAAAAAATAGAAACAACCTAGGTGTCCATCAACTGAGGAATGGATAACCAAACTATGGTACATACACACAATGGAATACTATGCAACCCTAAAGAATAATCCAGAATCTGCAAAACACCACATAATGTAGATGAACTTGGAGGATATTATGCTGAGTGAAATAAGTCAATCACAAAAGGACAAATATTGTATTAGTTCGTTATTGTAAAACTCAAGGAAGGGTTGATCTATGGAAGGAAATTTTCTTTGTTGGTTACCAGGGGTGGGAGGGCAGGGTAGGGAACACTGTTAGATAAGTAGAGATAAGTATTGATTTGGGTGAAGAGAAGGGCAATGTACCGAATGTGAGTGATCAACATGGTGGCACTGAGAAAGAGGAAGTCATAGGGAGGTACATGGGGGTACAGACAACAAAGATGAACCCTTTTGCACATATAGTACTGCGTTGTCAGTGAAGGCAAACACGGGTATACAGGTGGATAGATGGGTGGACAGGCTGAACTAGTAGGTATGTCTATGTAGCGGGGAGTGTACCCAAGACCATGTATAGGGTTGGCAGACAGTGGTCATATAAGTTTATTTGTATCATCTGAATTCCCAGGTGTATAATAGAGATGACAAGGGACAAGGTTGTAGTCACTTGGTCACAGCCAGAGGGACCAAGTAGTTGAACCTGTGGGCTTGGGACCATAGTCGCAGGGGAGATCAAGCTCAATTGGCATAACATACTACACAAAACATTGTTCCACCTTCTACATTGGTGAGTGGTGACTGGGATCTTAAAAGCCTGCAAGCAGCCATTTAGATGCAACGATGGGTCTCTCCTCGTCCAGAGCAAGGAAGAATGAAGAAAACCAAAAATTTATGGAAAGAATTAGTCCTAGCAACTGGCATACCATGCGATCCACTGAGATTATGGCCCCTAGCTGCCCTTCAGGTCTGGAATTGGACCCACACCTGTGGTTTCCAGCCAAATAAAAGACAAGCATATGAGTTGAACATTTACCTGAGGTAGATACACTCTTTGGAGAGAACAATGATGGGAGAAAGAAGGGCTGTTTATGCACTGGGAGACAGCTCAAGGGGCGGGAGTGCATGGAGGGATGGACACAGGGAAGAGGTAACTATCAGGAGGAAGTGGGAGGGAAGCTGTTGCATTGTGGTGGATGTGATCAATGTCATGAGACAAAGTGTATGTGAACTGCTGTATGGAAAGTAAATTTGCCCTGTAAATTTTCATCCAAATCACAAAAAGAAAAAAAAAAGAAAAAGAATTAAGGGCCAAATCTGAAATGAAGGTGAGAGTAAAAAGAATTTGATTTTGACAAAACCAAAACCAAACTCATTGTTGTTGAGTCAATTCTGACTCATAGCAACCATAAAGGACAGAATAGAACTGATCTGTAGGGTTTCCAAGGCTGTAATCTTTATGGTAGCACACTGCCTGTCTTCCTCCCTTGGAGCAGTTGGTGGGTTCAAACCACTGACCTATAGGTTAGCAGCTGAGCATTTAACTGCTCTGCCACAAGAGCTCCTAATTTTGAGAAAGGGACTTTCTTATTTAAAAAAAATTATTATGGTAAAATATATATAACAAAAACTTTGCCATTTACAATGTGGAACAAAACTCAAAATCATTTAAAAAAAAGGGGGGGGGG